ATGCAAAGCATAAGGTATGCTAATCAAAACGTGCCCTAAACTAACCATCGAAAGTGGTTAAGTAAAAGGGAGAAAGCAGTGGGGTTGGAAGACATGCACACACACGCGCACCCTTATTACAACATTAAGCCCTCGCGAAGGAGGGTCCGAATAAGCTAAGCTACACTAAGCTAAGCTAACTAACTAATTAGACTAATTATTACAAACCAATCGAATAACTAGTAAACTACTTACTAATTATTACAACACTTAACTAATTAGCACACTAATTAATTAAATTACAAATTCAAATGTATACTATTTAAACATGTAAAATAGAAACTACACTTCTTCAACTCTGCTTCTGAAAGTTGAACATGCATGCATTTGGTTTTCGCCCTGAAAAGCCCACCGGTTTGCTCTTGAGAGGCTTTGTTTGCAGGGTCACTCCAAGAACTTTCTACTGAACCTTACCAAAACAATGCTGAGGGCTACACCAGTGGCATGCCGGCCATGGATGCTTGCTGTCGACCTCCTGCTGACCAAAGATGTGTTCTGCCGGCCAACAATGAAGCACTGCCGGCCAATGATGAAGAACTGCCGGCCACTAGTGTGCTGGTTCAGCAAACTGCAACAGAGCACACACAGAGAGAAAAAGAGAGGGTTTTTCTAGGGCATGTTTGTACTGCACCCTCTCCTTATCATCTCAAAACATCAAAGGAGGGGGGCCATTGGATCCAAAACAATCAATCAAGCATTTTTGATGCATGATGGCCAAGAATCCAACTTGTACACTTTCAATAAATGCATGAAACAAAGACTCTTAGACCACTACCTTATCATGAGTAATCAAAGGCAACGGAGACAAAGGAGATTGGCTCATTTTCATCACTTCAAGTATGAAATGGACCAATCTACCTTGTGTTCACTATAACGTCCGATTGAACACAATGCAATGCACACAAAACATGTTTATCTTAGTCAAGTTTTACTTGTCCAATTTTATTTACACATTTTAGCATTTACCAAGCCATTCTTTAACCGATTAAGTCCAATGTGAAAGTCCTGTAATGGGAAAGATGGCCTTAGTCACAAGCACCTTGAGCATGAAAGAAGCCTCATGCTTTTGGTTAGTAGAAACCCTCAAGAGAAGGCTAAAACCATTAGGCATGAGAGCCTCAATTCCATGCTCAAGCTAACAAGGGGCTTAAGACTACTTTCAAAGCAAATGAAAGAGTGAAGCATGGAGGAAGATTGCAAAAATTCAGTGCTGATATGGCATGAGAAATAAGACTGTAACACGCAAACAACTCATGTACATGTTAAGAGCCAAAAACATTAAGGCTAGTGAAGGACACAACACTAGAGGCATGCAACACAATGCTCAAAAGGGACAAACAGTCGAAAACAATCCTAAAACACCCTAAATGGAGTTCTAAAACATGCTTGAAATAAGCTAAGAATAGCTATATTAAGAGGCCAAAACAATAACACATGCTAGGCAATTTAGCACGATTGCACTACAAGCATATGAAGCAAAGCTCATGTGATCAAACCAGCTCAAAATAGAGCTTAATCATGCCAAATCAGTGGCTCAAACATGTTGAAATGGAAGCATAGATGGCAAGAAAAACATGCACACATGTTGGCTCACAAACAAGGCACAAAACACACCTCTCAAAAGCAATGAAAGAGTGGAATATGTGAGAGTGTGACAATGATATATGCTCTGAAATCACATGTAAAATGATGCTATGGCATGCAAATATCTCAAGCAAAGCATAGCCTTAAAACACAAAGCTAGTAAAAGCTATTTACACTATAGCTATACAAAGCAAAGCACATACGATTAAGACCATCTAAAACAGAGCTAAAGCATGTTAAATCAGTAGCAAAAACATGCTGGAGTCAAGCTAACACATGCTAGAATGATGGGCTAACTCATTAGGCATGCTAGGCTAGTAAGTAAGATTACACTAGTGGCCAAACCAGCCAAAAACAGAGTTAAAACATGTCAAATTAGAGCTTAAAACATGGTTGAACTAAGCTACAAAAGGGTAGAAATACATGCTCACAAGTTAGGCCATCTACACTTGCAAGGAGGATATGAGGAGGGGGGACCACCCCCTCCTATTTTGGTCCTCAAAACCAACTTTTTACCACTGAAATTCCTTTGGATTTCAGTGGGTAAAAGGCCATGAAAAGATTGTTTGAAAGGCCTTGAAATGTAGCACAAAGCTTAGCAAATAAGCTACAAAAGAGGGTGGACCACCCCTAACTCCAAAAGGGCCTCAAACTACCATTTTTAACACATAAAAATAGAGGTTTTTGTAGTTGACAACTAAGCCAAAAAAAACATGCAAAGGTGGCCAAACAAGTATGCAAAAATAAGCTTAAAAGGGGTAAATCCTTACCCTTGAAGCACAGTAGCAAAACAACAACTATATGAGCCAAAACCCAGCCATTGGCAGCCCAAAATAGGTTCCAAGGGACCTCAGACCAAAGATGTGCAACTTTGTTGAAGGATGTCTAGGCAAACTAGAAGTGCTTCTTTACTTCTATGCATAAAAGGGTAAGAGAGAGAGGATTCTAGAGAGAGAGGCAGAGATTTTGCTCACAAAATTCTGTAGAGAGAGAGGGATTTTAGAGAGAGAGGCTCCCAAACTTGGCAACCTTCCCAAAATGAGAGATATAGCCTCCATATATAGCAAAAACGTGAGCTTGGTCAAAAATATCTGATCTAGGGACAGCTTGAGGTAAAATATCTGCAAAAAACTGCTTTTTCTCATCAATGGCCAACACTGCTTCATTGATGGCTAGCACTTGATCATTGTTGGCTGGCAAGAAACACTCTTGGATGGCATAGGGCCGGCATTGGCCATTCATGGCAGGCACATGGCCAAAAAATCCCATTCATGGCCAGAAAATTCCACCACTGGTTGGCCAGAAAAATATTCTTTTGGGGCCCAACTTCAAATGGGAATATCGCCTTCGGCTGGACACCTTTGCAGTTCATTCTTGAGCTAAAATGAAGCCCTGGAAGTCTTCTTTCCAATGGTGGTAGCCTCACATCAAACTTCTAACTGTGCAAAAAGTTATGCCTCTTTGAGTGAAGACTGCTTAGTTTCAATCCTACCCGGATCCATGCCGAACTTCTCCTCAACTTGGTTTTTTCACTCCTCTCCTCTTTTCTTCAAATCCAAGCCTTTAAACAAGATGTTTTGAAGATTTTTTCAAAGAGTTCACCTCTTTTTCATTCATTTCCACTTTGTCCTCGCTCAGTTTACTGAAAAGCGTAACAATTAACGAAATGCGAGCCTCGGAACATCGTAGAATCATTTTTCAAAAATATTTTGAAAGAGAGGGTTTTAAGGTCTAAAATCTTTGGTAAAACTAGTTTTGGTCCACAACTGGGGTGTAAGGTTGGGATTTGACTCTCTCATTGTCTAAGAAATCGAACCTTTGCACTGCATAGCCTGTACTATCAAGTAAGCAATCAGTGGCGCCCAAGTCTTAAGGGTGTTCAAAAATGGGGTGTCTATAGTTGTCCCTCTTTGACAGAGCTTAGAGTCATGAAATGACGTGAGTGAATGTCAAAGCCCAGAGACGACCCATTTTTCACAAGACCGAAGACTTAGACAAACAAATAAAATGCAAATGTAATTGGTTGAACCCGAGGGTTGGCTATGTATCCTTTTGCAAGGAATCAAACCAGCGTAGTTTAGGCGCAGGATACAAAATGCGACAAAACAATACAAATGATATACAATGTAATGAAACAATACAAATGATATACAACACATGCACACATATAACGAACTAATGAAACCACAAGCAGTGCAAAACCACACAAATATCATAAAGGGATGGAGATGCAAAATCAAACTATGTTTAACACAAAAAATGTGCCGGAATCCTCAAACCAAAATTCTCTTGGTGGAATAGGCGTGTGCACATGCAGAACTGTGTGTTCCGCAGAAAGAATACAGGTAATTGGGTGGGATGATATAAGTGAGGAATGATCTACTGAGGAAAGATCATGATCCTACATACTGAATGCAACAAAACAAAACATGATGCAATGGATGCAACGGATGAAGTTAATAAGGCGCACGGCCAAACCATAACTTGCCTAGAAAAGGCATAGACACAAAACAGACCACGTCTAACACAGAAAAGGTGCCAACACCCTCAGACCACAATTCTCTTAGTGGAATAGGTGCGTACACATTATCACAGAACCATGCTTCAATGAAGGAAATGCATGAGCACATGCCAAACCAAACTTAACATGGAAAGGATGCATGATGATAAAATAGTATGATGCAATAGATGTAACAGATAGTGCTAGTAGATGCAAAGGGTGACATACTCCATCTATGCTGGATTCGTGAGAGGAGAAAGGACGAATCCAAAACACGCTGAAATTGTGTAAGGAAGAGGACACTCAAACCACACTGAAATCATGAGAAGAGGTCCAAAAAAAAACAATCAGGAGCACACTCATGCTTAACCTGAGATAACTTCCAAACACGTTGAAATCGTGTGAGGAAATGGACACTCCAACCACGCTGAAATTGTGAGAAGAGATCCAAAAACAACCACTCAGGTGCGCACTCGACGCAACCTGAGATAAATTCCAAACACGATGAAATCATGAGAAGAGATCCGAAAACAACTACTCAAGGGCGTACTCAACGCAACCTGGGATAAATTCCAAACACGTTGAAATCGTGTAAGGAAAAGGGCACTCTAACCACGCTGAAATCGTGAGAAGAGATCCGAAAACAACCGCTCAAGTGCACACTCGACGCAACCTGAGATAAATTCCAAACATGCTGAAATCGTGTAAGGAAAGGAGCACTCTAACCACACTGAAATCGTGAGAAGAGATCCAAAAACAACTACTCAGGTGCGCACTCGACGCAACCTAAGATAAATTCCAAACACGCTGAAATCGTGTAAGGAAATGAGCACTCTAATCACGCTGAAATCATGAGAAGAGATCCAAAAACAACCGCTCAGGTGCGCACTCGAGGAATTCCTATATCAGAAACAAGCCAACGAAGCCATATAAGCTCTTGAGTGGTGTCAGCAAGAGCACGATATTCAGCCTCAGTACTAGAACGAGCAGTAAGAGTTTGCTTCTTGCTACACCAGGCAATGAGAGAGTAACTCAAGAAGAAGCAGAACCCTATAATAGAGCGATGATTAGTAGGGTCCCCTGTCCAATCAACATTAGAAAATGCATGTAACTATAGAGAAAAGTGAGCGGAGTAGTGAAGACCGTGAAACACAGTGCCTTTGAGATAACATAAAATGCGAACTAGAGCATCATAGTGCAGAGAGCGAGGAGCAGCCATGAACTGACTAACAATGTGAACAACATAAGCAATGTCTGGACGAGTAACCATGAGATAGACAAGACTGCCAACTAGCTGACGATATAAAGTAGCATTAGACAACAAGTGACCGTTAAGAGGTGTAAGACGTGTCTGAGGATCAATGGGAGTAGAGGCAGTCTTGCAATCGGTAAGACCAGAACGAGCTAAGAGATCAGAAGTGTTCTTGGCCTGGGAGAGAAAGTAACTAGCCGGATCATGAGAGATTTCCAAGCCAAGAAAATAGCTGAGAAAACCCAAATCCTTCATCTCAAACTGGCGACTGAGAAACTATTTGACACGAGAGATACCTATTGTGTCATCCCCAGTGATAATCATATCATCCATACAGAGAAGAAGAAGAAACTATTTGACACGAGAGATACCTATTGTACCACGCTTTGTCTTATGAATAAAAAGGGCATAATCATAGGCACTGGAGGAGAATCCAAAATCATGAATGGTGGAGCTAAACTTGGTGAATCAGGCACAAGAAGCTTGTTTCAAACCATATAAAGCACGACGAAGTTTGCAGACTTTAGAGGATGGAAGAGTGGAACCAGGAGGAGGATGCATATAAACTTCTTCAGTGAGATCTCCACTGAGAAATGCGTTCTTCATATCCATCTGACAAAGTTTCTAGTGGCGAGCAGCAGCAAGGGCAAGTAAGCTGCGAACATAAGTCAGACGGGCAACAGGAGCAAAGGTTTCTTCATAGTCAATCCCATATTCTTGAGTAAACCCCTGGGCAATAAGACCAGCTTTGTAACGCTCATAGAACCATCAGAATGAGTCTTGAGCTTGTAAACCCATTTTCAACTAACAACACTTTTGCTAGGAGGAAGATCAACCACATCCCAAGTATGAGTTTTATCCAAAGCCTGTAGTTCATCAGTCATAGCTTGCTGCCAAAGAGGGTTGGAACAAGCCTCTCGATAGGAAGTAGGTTCATGAGAGGAAAATGCAGTAGAACCAATAATGAAATCATGAAGAATGATAGAAGGATGTGTTACTCGAGTATAATAACGAAGAGGTACCTCAGAAGTAGGACCAGGAGGCGGAGTAGGATCCTCAGGATGGTCCAGAGGCAGCATGACAGGACTAGGAGTAGGATCAGGAAGTGGAGCATTAGCAGGACCAGGAGGCGGAGTAGGATCCTCAGGATGGGCCGAAGGCAGCATGGCAAAAGTGGTGTCTGTATCAAGCTCATCAAACAAAAGAGAGGGATTTGTGAAGAATGATGTAGTGGGAGGAGTGAACAACTGAAACTTAGATATGGAATAGAACATCTTGTCTTCCCAAAATACCACATGATGAGAGACACGAAGACGTTAAGAAATAGGATCCTAATAACGATAACCTTTATGATCAATCCCATACCCCAAGAAGAAACACAGACGGGCTCGAGTTTCTAATTTGTAACGCTCATGTGGTTGAAGCAAGACAAAACAAGAACATCCAAACACACGAAGATGAGAATAGACACGGAGACGAGAATAGACAGGAGGTTCGCCATATAAGCGCTCATATGGGGTATGATTATTGATGGTAGGAGAACGAATACGATTGATAGTATAGGCAGCCGTGAGAGCGACTTCCCTCTAGAAGCGCTTAGGACAAGAAGAGAAAATTAAAAGAGCATGGACAATATCCAAAAGATGGCAATGTTTACACTCAGCATGACTATTTTGTTAGGAGGTACCAAGACAATAATAGTGAGAAAAGTGTGCCATTTTGACAAAGAAATCTCAAAAAATTTGTTTCTTTGTATTCTTGGGCATTATCAGCACAGAAAACTTTGATGGTGAAAGAAAACTGAGTTTTGACCATTTGTGAGAAATCACAGTATATTTGTGGTAACTCAGAGGGAGACTTCATAAAAAATAATCAGGTAAAACGAGTGAAATCATCTACAAAAATGACAAAGTAATCAGATCCCCCCATAGTGGGATTAGGTGCCTGTCCCCAAATATCAGAGTGTATGAGATCAAAAGCTGCATGAGACATAGAAGTACTGGATATAAATGGCAAAACAGATTGTTTTGCTAGTTAACAAGATAGACAATCTACTTTATCATTAGGAACAGGACCTAATTGAATGCTGGAAACTAGAGATCATAAACGTCCAAAAGAAACATGACCTAACCGAGAATGTCATAAGGCACGAGGAGAACTGGGAGTAGTAGGAGCAGTAGTCTGGGGAGTGGAAGGATTGGAGAAGGGAATGTGAAGGTGCATGAGCTCATATAGACGTCCATGTCTACGATCGATCCCAAGAGTCTGTCCTGCCTTCAGATCCTGCACAGCATAACCAGTTAGAGAAAAGAGAACAGTGAAGCCAAGATCACAGAGTTAACCAATTAAAACAAGATTAAGTGTAAGATTGGGGATCAGATAAGTGTGGGGTAGAGAAACAATAGAGGTGAAAATATGACCTATATGATTAACATGCATTTGAGAGCCATCAGCAGTGTGAATGACAGGTAATGTAGAAGAAGATGTAGTAGAGGAGAAAAGTGTAGGGTCAGAGGTCATATGGTTACGACAAGCGGAATCAAAATACTAAGAAGAGGTACCTAGAGCAACTGAGAGGACAGTAGAAGGTGTAATAGAGGTAGAAATAACCCGTTTTACAATAGCTTCAATGTTCTAAAGAGTATAGGGTGGTGACGAGGCAACTACAGATGATGAACCAAAGGCAACTGTAGTAGATGCAAAATGTGCTGAAGACTAATCTTAGCTGTTTATTGTGGAGGGTCTAGAATAGCTATCGTGCTGAGGATAATTGTCTGAACGAGCCATGAGGTGATTAAATAATGAATCACAAAGGGGAACCAGTGATGGCAGAGTAGAACTAAATAAAATAAAGTGCACCAATGAATTTGGAACATTGAAAATAGTCAAAAACCTGGCCAAAATGATCAGAAAATGTGTAGAAAATAGGCGAAACAAGCCAAAAATTGAATTTTGGCTAAACGGGGTGCATGGCTAACATCAGTAGAAGGGAAGCTGATGTCAGCAGAGGCGCGACTCATGTTAGCATAGCTAAGGTGCATCGTAGTGTAGCAGAGAAGGCGTGGTGCATGTTAGCAACTGACGGAAACGGCGGCAGATGGTTGAACAATAAGGCTGACGTCATGCTGAGATTAGCAGGACGTGGTTGAGATGTGCGCATTAGAGCGTGTGGTAGATCAAAAAAATGCCCTAGAGCGTGTGTCAGCACGTGTGCTCGTGGTGACGCCAAAAATGCTACGTCGAGGCTTCTGGAGGCGCATGAGAGTGCGTTAGAGTGATTTTGGTGCTGGTTTGGTGGCGACGGATTCATGGAGTGATGAGAAAAGGTCTTTGTGCCAGTTATTTTGGGTTTTAGGCGGAAAAAACTGGGAACAGAGACACAAATATTTGAAGGAGAACGTGGTGTGCCAGAGGCAGTTTGAAATAGTGAAAAAATAAAGGTGGTGCACCGAAGGCGACTTAGGAAGAGAGCATTGGCTCTGATGCCATGTTATGATATTATAAAGAGAGAGGAATGAAGAGAAAAGAGAAAACTCTTGTATTCAATTTAATAATCAATGAATAGTACAAACTCCTTTATATAAGAGAGAAGATAAGTATATACAGAGAATATACTGCACTACACAGATAAGGCATATCCATACAGAGAATATGCTATAGAATATACTATAGTTAAAGAGATGATAAATGTTAAATCCCATAAAATTCATGTTTTAATCACCTATTCAAAGCAATTTAGAATAGAGTTATAGTTGATACTTTGAGCTCGTTGATGCTGGATACGTTGCACACAAATCAATCAATTCATATGTAATTGTAGACCCTCCATTTTTAAAAGCCCTTAAGACATGGGCGCTTCATTCCGAGCACCCAATGATGAAAGTTACACTGTACAATCTTTTGAATTCTTAGCAAAAAAATTTGGATTCAAGCACTAATCCCAAACCTTATACCTCATTTTGGCCAAACTATTTTAGAGCTTAAAACCCACTTTTTCAAAATATTTTTTCAAATGTTTCTACGATGTTCTGAGACTCGCATTTCATTTAAAATATTACACAAAAACATCTTATTTATAGGTTTGGAGTTGAAGGAAATAGGAGGAAATGGAAGAAAACTAGTTTAGGAAAAGGTCGGGCATCAAACCGTTAAGAAAAAAATGAGAAGCCTTCACTAAATTAGGAATATCTCTTTGTACACTTAGAATTTAGATTTGTGGCCACCACTATTGGCAAATATACTTCCGGAGCTTTAATTCAGACTCAAGAATCACCTAAAACCGAGTCTGAGTGAGGGAAATATGCCCATTTGAAGTTGGGCATGAAGTGTAGATTTTTGGACCCGGCCAAGTTTGTTTAGAACCGGCCGTGGCCCATTTAGACCCGGCTGTGTTTCAATGAAAACTTATCCAGAGTCTCTTTTTAGGCCTGGATTTTCATTTTTGGGCCAGGCCGTGTGTTTTTGGGCCTGATCGGGTCTCATTAGCACCAAACAGAATAGCTGGCCGAAATTGGACAGATGGCTTTGTTTGAAGATATTTTTGACCAATTTGGCTCAATTTCTATAAATAGGACATCCCACTTCATATTTTAAGGTTAAAAAAACCTTCCAAAAGGCTTAGATATTGATGAGTTATCCTTGAACCTCCTTGAACCTTGAAGCTTCTTTTGTTCTCCAAATCAACTTTCACCCTCCATACACCATTAAAGCTTGGAGTTGGAGCTTTCTTGTAGAGATTTCAAACAAATTTTTAGAATCTAGAGGGTTAGGAAATATTTGAAGGTTTTTGAGAGCTAAGAACATCCATCTTCCTTCCAAAAGCTTCCTTGACTTTATATCACCTTTTAGCTATACATACATAATACATACACCATTGGAGTTTGTTCTTGAAGCTTTTTGTTGAATTTTCAAAGCTAATTTCAGAAACTTAAGGGTGTTGGAATCAAGTTTGTTAACTAAGAGCTTACCACTCTTTTCAAAAGGTATAATTTTGCACCTTCTTCTTTTATCTTCTTCTACTCTTTCCTCTATTTTTCTTGTCTTTATATACTAAATTTCAGAGTTTTAAAGGACTGAAAAAATGGTTTAGAAGTCCAGAAAGTGGAGGGGTTAGCCACCCTTCCTTAGTCTTGCTTACTAGCTTTGTGCCTCCTTACTTTTGGCTTTGTTTTGTGCTCTTTTAACATCATTTTAGCTACTGTTTTTTGCATGTTAGGGGCTGTTTTAGGGCTTTTTAAATTTATTTAAATAGCTTA